CCAACGGCCACGCGGACGACGACGCCATGGACACGAGCGACGCGCCGCCGCCGGCCGCGCCGGAGCCCGAGCCCGAGCCGGCGCCGGCGCCCGAGCCGGAGCCCGAGCCCGAGCCCGCCGCGCCGCCGGCGCCGGAGCCCGCGCCGGAGCCGGAGCCCGAGCCCATGGAGGAGGAGGCGGCGGACGGGCTGACCAAGGAAGAGGTGGAGAAAATGAAAGTCGCGGAGCTCAAGGAGGAGCTCGAGAAACGGGACCTGTCAACGAAGGGGCTCAAGGCCGTTCTCAAGAAGCGGCTCCTCGAGGCGCTCTAGAGAGGCTCAAACGCGATACCGCGCTTAAAACATCCGACCGTGCGTGGCCTAGACCGTGTGGCCCCAGTTCGGCGGGTGCGTGTAGTCGCGGCGCATCTTGATGGGCTTGCCGAGGGACTGGGAATGCGGTGGCTTCGCGTCCATGTCGGCGACGCGGCAGGCCCAGCCGTCGGCGTGGGCCACGTCCGACCAGAGCGGCAGGAGGATCTCCTCGTGGGACGACGCGTCCGCGAGGAACGCGAGGGACCCGAGGTGGCGCTGGGGCCGCTCGAGCGCCCGGAGCCGGAGGCGCACGTCGCAGAGGATGCCCTGGCGCAGCAGATCCAACGCCACGGCGACCTCGTGCTCCGCCGACGGCGCCTCGTCCGCCGGCAGGAACCCGTTCACCACCGCGACGACGCCGTGCGCGCGGTCGCGCTCGAGGTGCGCGAAGCAGTCCGCGAGCAGCTGCGGGTCGTCGAAGACGAGCGCGCAGCGGTTCGCGTGGCCCCCGTCGTCGCCGTCGTCGTCGAAGCGCAGCTCGACGCGCGGCGGCTCCGCGTCCGCGAGCGCCGCGTCCTCGAAGCCGAAGAAGACGCCCTTCTCCAGCGACGACGCGCCCAAATCCGGCGCGTCCGTCGACGCGGACCCGTTGAACCGCGCGGCGAGGGCGTGGACGAAGCGCTTGAACTCGGGCGCGGCCCACGTCGCCGACGCGGCCGCGAAGCGCGCCTTCGCCGCCGGGGTTCGGAGTCGGAGCGCGTCGAAGCGGTTCTGCTTGAGCTTGAAAAGCGTCCGCTGCACGTCCTCCGAGGGGGACAAATTCGCGACGCGTAGGAGCGGCTGGAGGGCCGCGCCCGCGTAGCGCGCGGCCCTCAACGCCGCGACGAGCGCCTTCCGCCGCACGACCTCGCGCGACGCCGCGCCGCGGACGACGCGCAGCAGGTCCGCCAGGTCGTCGTTCGGCGTCTCGTGCGGCGACGCGCAGCGGCGCAGGAACGTCCGCACCAAACTGCCCTGCAGGTCCGCGAGCGTCCGGCGGCTCGCGTCGCCGAGGGCCACGCCGTCGCGGAGCACCTGGCGGACCTCCCTTGGCAACAAAGCCCAAAGCCCCTCGCCGCCGCTGTCGGCCTGGGGCGCCGCGACGGCGAGGACCGACCGGTGCGCCGCCCGCGCCGCCTCGTGGGCGGCGAGCTGCGACTTCGCGAGCGCGTCGCCGACGCGTTTCGCCCAGGCGACGGCGTCGGTGTCGCCGTGGCCAGGCCGCGCGAGCAGCCAGGGGTGGCGCGAGGCCAGCGCCCGCGCCCGCGCGCCCTCGGCGGCGGCCTTGAGCGCCAGCGCGTCCTCGGCCGCCGCGAGGCGCTGCTCGAGCGCCTTCTCGCGCGCGGACACGCGCTTGTCGGGCGACGGCGGCGGTAGAGGCGGCGGCTCGTTGGCCGCGCGCGCGGCCAGCGACGCCTCGAGCTGGGCCTCGGCGGCCAGGAGCGCGTCTTCGCGGGCCTTGAGCGCGGCCTCGCGGTCCGCGAACTCCGTGGCCATCTCCTTGCGCATCGCGTCCGCGTCGTCCGTCAGCAGAGCTAAGCGGTGCCGCTCCTGCTCCGCGTCGATGGCCGCCTGCCTCCGCTCCTCCTCCAACTTCTCCCGCGACTTGGCCAGGGCGGCCTCGAGGCCCACGCGGCACGTGTGCGCGGCCTTGAGCTCGGCCTCGCGCCGCTGCTTCGCCTCCGCGTCCGCCTCGAGGCGTTCGCGCTCCGCGTCCAACCGCGCCTTCTCGCGCGCCGCCGCCGCGGCGGCGTCCTTGTCCCTCGCCTCGCGTAGACGCTTTCGCCAGCGCCTCCTCGGCGCGGCGGTGCATGGCGTCGGCCTCGGCCGTCGCGGCCTCCGCGCGGACGCGCTCCGCGGCGGACCGCTCCTCGACGACGCGCGCGCTCCGCTCCGCCTCCTCGGCGGCGGCGACGCGGCCGTCGGCGGCCCGCGCGAGGCGCTCGACCTCGTCGCGGGCGAGGGCCAAAGCCTCGGCGCGCTTCGTCAGCGCGTCCAACCGCTCGCGCGCGAGGACGTCGGCCGCGGCGACGGAGTGCGCGCGCGCGTCGACGTCCGAGCTTAAAGCTTTGTGCTCGTCGGCCCGGGCGGCGGCCTCGGCGATGGCGCGGGCGAGGTCGTCCGACTGGCGCTCGATTTCTTGCTTGAGGGACGCGGCGTCGGACTCCCGGTCCGCGACGGCGGCCTCGCGGTCCGCGACGGCGGCCTCGCGGCGGTCGAGGGTGTCGTGGAGCGCCGCGGCCTCGCCGGCCGCGGCCTCGGCGGCGTCCTCCCGCGCGGCGACGCGGGCCTCGCGCTCGGCGAGGGCGAGCTTCAGCGCCTTCGCGTCCGCGTCCGCGCGCGCGACCTCCCGCTTCAGCCAGTCGGCCGCGGCCTTCTGCTCCGCCTGGGCAGGACAAGGGTGATTCAACGTCGCTTCAACGTGAGTGTTCCGCACGCGTGCGTTCCAAAAAAAGCATCCACGCGTCGAGACCGTTCCGAGAGATGATCGCTCGTCCAAAAATCAGCCGAAACGAGTGGAAAACGGCCGAGAAAGGAGCCTTTGAAGTTGGGAATTTCGCTCTCTTGTCCTGCCCTGTGCTCCGCGTCCGCGGCCGCGAGCTCGCCGAGGCGTCTTTGGGTAGCGTCCTCGCGGGCCCGCAGCGCCTCGGCCGCCGACGCCACGCGCGTCTCCTCCGCGCCGAGCTTCGCGAACGACGCCTCGAGCGTGCTCTCGAAGGTCTGCAACGCCGCGCCCTTCGCCTCGAGACCCGCGGACGCGGCGCGGTCCGCGGCGGCGCGCGCCTCGCGCTCGCGGAGCGCGAGGGCCTCGAGGCGCCGGTGCTGCTCCGCCTCGTGCTTCCGCTTCGCCTCGCTCGCCGCGAGGTTCGTGCGCTCGAGGGCCAGCTCGTCCCAGGCGGCGACGGCGTTGCGCTCCGCGAGGGCCTCCCGCGCGAGGTAGGTCTCGAGGGACTGGCGCAGGGACTGGCGCGACGTCTCGTTCATCGCCAGCGAACTGCCGAGGCCCAGCGTCGACTCGAGCGTCGCGTCCATGCTGCCCACCGTTTGCCCGATGGGCTCGTGTAAACTGCTGCACCGTTTCGGAGTTTGCGGTTCAACATCGGCGCCGCGTACGATGATTTTTACGACGCCCCGGGGCGGAGCCCGAGGGTGAAGCGCGCCGTGCCGTCGTCCTCGGCCTCGTCGTCGTCGTCGTCGGGCAGCGCGACGTCGAGGAGCACGAGGCGCGACTTGTCGATGAACTCCTTGACGCCCTCGAGGCCCCGACCGTTGTCCGCGAGCTCCGGCGTGAGCTGGAGCCTGGGCAGCACAAGAGTGATTCAACGTCGCTTCAACGTGAGTGTTCCGCGCGCGCGCGTTACGGTGAAAACATCCACGCTTCGATATTGTTCCGAGAGATGATCGCTCGTCCAAAAATCAGCCGAAACGAGTGGAAATCGGCCGAGATATGAGCCTTTGAAGTTGGGAATTTCGCTCTCTTGTGCTGCCCTGGCTGGAGCAGGGCCCGGCCGTCGTCGGCGAGGAGCGCCGCGATGGTGTCGAGCAGGGCGGGCAGCGTCTCGCGCTGGTAGCCGACCTCGGCCGCGATGACGAGGTCCCACCGCTTCCGCCCCGCCCTCGCGATGTCGTCGCCGTAGCCCCAGCGGAGCCGCGACACGGCCGTCCCGCCGCGCGCGTTGCGCCTCACGTTGATCTCCGTGTTCTTCAGCACGGCCGGCGACCCGTCCGTGAGCAGCACCTTGCGCGCGCCGAGCCACTTGGCCATGATCCCCGCCGCGCCCGTCCCGCAGCCGAGCTCGAGCACGCGCCGCCCGCGCACGGTCGCCGGCGCGCCGACGAGGTAGCGCGCTAAAGCCACGCCGCCGGGCCAGGCGTAGGTGCCTGTGCGGTCGCCCGCGTCCGCGTCGTCCTTCGCCGAGCCCCGCGCCGCGCCGAACGCCTGCGTGATGACCATCGTGCGCCCGTTCTTGAAGGTGAGGCCGCGCTCGATGAAGGCCGGCGCGGCCTTGGCCGTGGCCGAGCGCCCGCCGACGAAGCCGGCCGGGGCCGCGGCGAGGCTCGGGAGCGGCGTCAGCGCTGCGGCGGCGAGCGCGAGGGCGGCGCGGCGCGTTTCCGGCGTGTTTTGCGGCGCGACGGCTTTCAACGACGCGAAGCTGTCCTCCTCGGCGTCCGCCTCCGTCGAGCGCAGTGTGGTTAACCGCGCGTGTTGGTGGTTAAAGACGAAGCCGCCGGCGACCGGCAGCGCGCATAACGCGACGAGTCGGAGCGCGGCCATGCCTCCGCGGCAGGACCTTCAATTTGCAGTCCAGGTTGCAGTCTGCGCGCCGGAGCGATAAGGCGTCGAGAAACGAAGTCGGGCTTACGCCCTTCAGAGCGCCGTCGACTTCGCCGGCGGCGGACTGAGCTTCATGAGCTTCGCGGACGCCTTCGGGAAGTGCTCGGCGACTCGGATCTTCGCCTGGGCGAGTTTACGCGCCGCGGCCCGGGTGGTCGAACTTAGAACTCCGACCCCGCGAACTTGCAGCCGGGGATCCGGCAGGTCGGGTTCGGCACCTCCTCGTGCCGCGCGTAGTACTCTCTTCGCGCGATCGTGAGGCAGCGCTCGTTGCTCTTCGTGGGCATCTCGCGAGTCCGCCGAGCGTCGAGCGCATCACGACGACCATCTCAACTAAACCGGCGTTGAAGTGGCGCCTGAAGCAGGAGGAGCGGCTGAAGAGACTGGAGAAGGCCACGATCGACGGGTACCCCGAGCCGAACGTCGAGCCCGTAGTAATGCGGTGCGCGCCGCGGGGCCGCGGGCGCCAGCGGTCGCGAATTCGCGAAGGGCCGCGGGCGGGCGGCGGCGCTCTACAAGCGCAACTACGTGGACACGCCTCCGAGCGCGTCGCCCCGGCGCGGCGCAGCCCGAGCGGGACGCGCAGGCTGTGCATCTCGAACTCGTGGGCTCCGGCGCGCGCGCGGCGCGCGGTTCGCTGTTGAGGTAGGCCTTGAGGTCTTCACCGCGCTTCAACACGTGACGATCTCGAACATCGAAGGTGGGGCAAGAACCTCAAGCGGGCCGAAGTTTTGCGTAACAAGGCGGTAGCACGTTGTCGGTGCGCCGGGTTTTCGTTTTGCGGGTCCTCTCGAACCCCCTGAGCGTCATGGGCAAGGTCCAGTCGAAGATCGTGAGCGTCTTGGTCGACTGCCTCGAGAAGCCGGAGCCGAGCCGCCTCGAGCGCACGAAGGCCTTCGTCGACGGCTCGAGCCTGCCCATCGTCGTCACGAACTCGGCCGACGGGACCGTGGTCCACTGCAACGAGGCCTGGTGCGGCATGTGCGGCTACGCGCGCGACGAGGCGCTCGGGCGCACGAACGGCGAGCTGCTGCAGGGCCCCGGCACGGACCTCCGGGCCGCGCGCGCCATGGTCGGCGAGCTCCGGGCCGGCGCGTCCAAGGCGCGCGCCGTGCTATTCAACTACAAGAAGGACCGGAGCCCCTTCTGGAACGACCTCGTCGTCACGCACATCGGCGACGACGCGTCCGTCGGCGTCAGCGGCTACGACGTCGCCTTCCTCCGCGAGGCGCGCGACGCGGGCGACGCCGCCGACGGCGCGGCCCTCAGCGAGTGCTTCAGCATGAAGAAGCGCCTCTCGCCCTTCACGGGCGAGCTCTCCGAGGCCTCCATGTTCGTCGTCAGTTGATGCCGCGCGCGCGCTGCGGAGAACCACGTCCCCCGGCGGCCGTCGCAGACGGCCGCCCGGACCGCAGCCGCGCCCGCGCCTCTCGATGTCCCCCGTTAAAGTTTCAAGCTAGCGTGGCGTCGCGACGAACTTTGGGTGCGGTGTGTTCCCGGGCCGGAGCTCCCGAGGTCGTCGGGGGCGCGGCTGCGTCGTGTCGCCTCGCGTCGCCGCGGGCCGGGCGCGCGCCCAGCCGAATCGCGCGATGGCACTAGTGGATAGAGAACGAAATCTCTCTCTCTCCCGAGTGCAACTATATCTTTCTCGAGTTTTATTGATTCACCAAACCCCTCTTTCGACTCCGAAACATTGTTATAGCCGCCCCGTCTGGGGGTTTGAGGCCGCCGCGCCATGGCGGCCCGGGGCTACGAGCTGCCCCGCGTCGACACGGAGTCGCTGGGCACGTTCTTCTGCAGCAGCGGCGACGAGGTGCTGAGCCCCGACGGCGTCCCCCTCGAGTGCCCCCTGGACTTTGAGGAGCCCCACCCGCCCCTGCACACGGTGCACGTGCCGAGCGACGACGACTGGGAGGCGCCGGACGACAAGGCGCCGGACAGCTTCAACATCGTCACCATCGAGGAGGACGAGAAGGTGCCCGACGAGGCGGACGCGCCGGAGTGGAGCGAGGACGGCGACGGCTCGAAGAGCGTCGGGTCCGTCGTGGGCCTCTGGCTGCCCCGGGAGGTCATCTTGGCCGGGCTCTGCTGCTGGTGCCTGACGCTCGCGGCCACCGTCGCGCTCTGCGGCGTGCTCGCGGCGCGGCAGGGGTCCGCGAGTCGACGGACGATCGCCTACGGCCTGGACGGCGTCGCGGCGGCGGGCGTCCTGGACGCCGCCGCGTCGCTGCGCGTGGACCTCGCCGGCTTCGACGACGGCGTGCTCGTGACGGCGTCGGGCTCCGGCTGCAGCGTGTCCTACGCCTTCGCGGACGGGGCCGTCGTCCTCGAGGGCGACGCGTCCGCGGGAGCCGCGCCGTGGCTCTGCCAGCCCTACGCCGAGGTCACGTACGTCCTCGTGCGGTCCGACGGCACGCGCGCGCCGACGCCCCGGCCCAGTCCGGCGCCCCCGTCGAGCGCGCCGTCGCGCGCGCCGACGACCGCGGCGCCGGCGGACCCGGCGACGGCGGCGCCGACCGCGGCGCCGGAAGCACCGCCGACGGCGCCGCCGACGGCGCCGCCGGCGGCGTAGCCCCCGCGGCGACCTCCCACTGTACCTCTCCCATCCTTCCTTGTTCAATGCGTCAAATATCTAAGTGTTACCCTTCAACATTTATACTTCGTTTCGGCGGCAAGTTGCAAAGAGAGAGCGCGCTCCACCATCGTCATCGTCCCGGCGGCAGCCTTCTCCGGCGAGTGCGGGCGGCGCCATGGCGACGACGGTGCTGGAGATGATGCTCGCGAACAACCTCACGGCGAACGCGACGGTCTTAACGCAAATCTGTTTCCAAGCCGCGTCACAGAACAACTTCTCCATGTGTAGCGAGATCTGCTTCGACGACGACGGCGACGACGACGCCGTGGGGGTGAGCCAGGCCGGGCCCAAGTTCCTCCGGTTCATGTCGGAGGAGGCGCAGCTCGCCGCGGGCGTCGCCGTCGCCCTGATCTGCGTCAGCTGGCTCGCGCTGCCGTTCATCACGCGCATGGACTGGGGCGACCACGCGTACTACGCCTACGCGCGGCGGCGCTTCTTCCTCTTCAACCTCTGCGCGCCGACGAGCAAGGGCGGCCAGGGCATGAAGGTGCCCCTGGGCATCGTCGACGGCTTGGGGCGCGACAACGTCGAGCACCTGAAACGTTTGGCGACGAACGCGGATTCCTTGGCGCTCAACGGCTCCGTCTTCTCCGCGGTCACGGCCGTGTCCAAGACCGTGCGGTCGTCCGTCAAGAGCGCCTATGGGGTCGGGAGCTCCGTGAAGACGAGCCTGGTCAAGGTCGTGCCGCTCTGGCGCGAGTCGAAGCGCGTCGTCACTGTCGCCGAGAAGGGCGCCGCGCGGGCCCGCGAGGGCCGCGACGTCGTCTTCGCCGCGAAGCGCTTTTATATTTCTGAGACCGACGAGGACGACTTCGTCGTGCTCGTGCGCCGCGACGCGGGCGACGAGTGCGTCGTCTCCGTGAGCACGCAGGACAACCTCCTCGGCGCGCGGGGCCGGATCCACTTCGAGCCCCTCGTCGCCGCGCCCGTGAAATTCGAAAAGGGCAAGCACACGGCCGCCGTCAAGCTGACGACGATCCACCAGAAGAACTGGGAGTCCATCCTCTCCTTCTACGTCAAGATCGACGACGCCGAGGGCCGCGTCGACGGCCGCGACGGCACCGTCGCCGAGGTCCGCATCGTCAACGACGACACGTTCCCGCGGAACTTGGACGCGTCCAAGACGGGGAAGCGGCTCTGGCTCGACGCGGACCGCCACTGGATTTTGCGCGTTATCGTCTTCTGCCAGGTCATCTACGACGACCTCAAGATCAACATCCCGCTCTACTTCCGCGACAACTTTTTGATTTACTACTGCGGCCACTTCGTCTTCGGCGCCGTCTACGGGTCCATGTACCTGCCCTGGATCTTCCAGCGCATCCTGTTCAAGTCCATCCCGGAGAAGAACCACGCGGAGGCCTTTTTGCTCGCGGCGATGGGCGTCATGGGCGAGTGCCTCAAGCAGCGCGGCTACTACGCGTTCACGGGCTCCTGGGCTCTGGGCCGCTTCCACAACCTGCGCCTGAGCCGCCACTTCCTCAGCCTGAGCTACCTGCAGATGCACGACCAGGACGTCGGCCTGCGGTTTCGGAAGATCTTCACGAACATGGAGTCGTGCGTGAAAAACACGTGGGCGGCGATGATCCGCGTCATGGGGTCCCTCATCAAGACCTTTGTGATTCTTATTTCTGCGGTCTACCTCCTGCCGGCGGAGTCGCTCTGGCTCTTCGCCCTGATCTGCGCCGTCCTCGTCGTCAACAATCTCATGGTCGCGGTCGTCGAGGAGGGGAGGGGGTGGCCCGACCCGTCGTGCTTCCTCGACATGGAGGAGCGGGAGACGCTCATCACCAAGGCCATCGAGGAGATGCTCGAGTACCGCGTCGTGACCAAGTCCCTCGACTTGGCGAACCGGCGCGTCGCGAACGTCAACGGCGCGTACGGCAAGTGGCTCAACCGCCGCAACGCCGCGTGGTACTACATCGACCACAACTACTGGAGCCGCTACTGGTCCTGGGTCCTGCCGGTCTGGGTCTTCGTCGGCGCGTCGCCCTGGCTCGTGCACAACTCGTCGGTCAAGGTCGCGGACCTCACGTTCATGCTCTACCTCACGTGGCTTCTGGGGTCGATCATGACGGGGCTGGGCGACGCGGCGGAGCGGCTGCGCTACGGCGTCGCCCAGCTCGACTACATCTCCCACACGATCAACGCCGGCGTCTGCGACGCGGAGGCGCAGACGAAGCTGCTCGCCGCGTCCAAGCGCGGCGTCGCGCGGCTCGTCGACGGCTTGGACGGCGCCGCGCCGGCGCCTCTGGACGACGTGCTCGGGCGGCTCGTGCTGGACCGCGTGTCCACGGGCGGCGACGCGGGCTTCAAGGACATGAGCCTGGAGATCCCGCTCGGCGGCCTGGTCTACGGCCTCGCGGCGGACGACGCGAGCGCCTTCGCGCTCCAGCGCGCGGCCTGGGTTTTGGGCGGCGCGGTGCTGCCCGAGGCCGGCGACGTCTTCTTCCCGCCCGAGCTTTCCGTGATGCTCGTCTCCCAGAGCGCGGAGCTCGTCAAGGGCACGGTCATGGACAACCTGCGGCTCGGCTGCGGCGAGGCGGCGACGTCCGGCCTCGACGACGACGCGATCTGGACGATCTGCGAGACCCTGGGCATGCGGAAGACCCTCCTCCGCGACGACAGCACCCTCGTCCTCAAGGACGGCGCGAACGTCTCCAGCGAGGACCGCGCCGTCGTCCACGTCGTCCAACACCTCCTCTGCGACCCGGACCTCCTCGTGGTCTACACGCGCTTCTGTACGGCGAAGCTCCTCGACGGCCTGACGGCCTACGTCACGGGCGCGCTGCTCCCCTTCACGACGAAGCGCCTCCGGGCCCCGGGCGCGAACTCGCGCACGGTCCTCATCAACGTGCCGCCGTCCCTCGCCGGCTTCGTCGACCGGACGATCCACTTCCCCGCGCCGGGCGGCGCGCCGACGGCGCCGACCTTCTCCGACACGCGGTCCGCCACCGTCGTCGTCTAGGCGCCCCCCGTCTTCGAGACTCCGAGCCGCTTTGTTTTGCTCGCCCCCCGCGGACGCCGCGCTCGGGCCGGTCTCCGCTTCATTGTTCTCCTCTGAGTCAACAAGTACTTCAAGAGGTCAAATATTCAAGAGGTTGCCTTCACCTTAATCTTACGAAACTCCCTCAAAAAGCTGATGGACGACCACAAAAACCCAACGACGCCGTGAGCACACGCCTGCGGCCTCGTACGACGCGATGGCGCAGGACGCCGGGCACATCTACCTCTGCAGCACCGAGGGCCACGCCGTGGAGCCGCCCCCGGGCGGCCAGATGGACTACGCCGGCCTCGCCTGCGTGTCGGACCCCGCGGACCCGGGCGGCCGCCGCGGGAGCTTCGGCGAGCTCGCGGAGACCGTGGTCTGCTCGTCGGCGTCGAGCGTCCTCGAGCTCGACGGCGCGCGCGCCGCCGTCGACATCGCGGAGACGCAAATCGACGACGTCACGCAGATCGGGAGCGGCTGGCCCAAGCAGGTCGACTTCGAGTTCATGCCCGGCGCCGACGACGACGACGAGGAGGAGAAGGAGATCTACGAGGGCGCGCGCCTCCAGCACCTCGCGGCCCAGGACAAGGTGAGGCACGCGCTCGACGAGCCGCCGCGGCTCAAGTCCGCACGCCTGCACCGCGACGGCCTCAGCCGCCGCATGTGCGCCGCCTACGGCTGCGCGCTGCTGGTTTTGGCGGCCTGCGTCGTCGTTTTCTTGTTTTGGTTCTCCGCGACGGACGACGACGACGACGACGGCGGCGGCTCCATCGTCTCCGGCTCCGGCCTCCTCGACGCGAACGCGACGCTCCTCGTCGCCTTCTCTTCGACGCCGGCCGTCGTGACGGCGTCGGGCTCGGGCTGCGCCGTGGCCTACGCCGTCGGCGAGAGCGCCGTGACGCTGACGGGCGACGCCGCGGGCGACACCGCCTACCTCTGCCAGCCGGGCGACGAGGTGTCCTACGCGCTCGTGCCCTAACAAACTTGTGTTGAGGCTCAACACCGCGGACGGGGCTCGGACGCCTGCGAAGCCCGAGGCGAGACGTCCCCTCCAGCAGCCGTCTCCGGCAGCCGAGCGGAGCCCGAGCTTCACGAAACCCGACGCCGCGTGATGGGATCCGTTGTAAGTTCATGTCAGTAGCGGCCACTCAAAAGAACATAGACCTGCGGTAAATCCGGCGATTCTCGGACGAGGCCTACCTTACCCTTTGGCTGGGTGTCCTCCGCGCTTACTTCAGGGTTGCTTGCTTCTGCGTAGCGCGCGAGTGGGGAAGCTCTCAGCACCCACCGCAGGTCTGCTTGCAGGCCGCCGCGGCGCCCGGTAAGGCGCAGCGGCGCCCGGCGTTCGCTCGGTTTGATGGCCTTGGTCACCTGGTCGCCGGCGATGTTGCGCAGGCGGTTCGGGGTGTTGTAGCAGCCTTCGAGAGGCGAGCCGACGCCGAAGCGTGTCTTGCGCCGCTGCTGCGGCAAGGGGGTCGACGTCGCGGACGGCGTCGAGGCGCGCGTCGCGGGGACGCGCTCGCGCAGCTTGAGGAGGCTGTCGCGGGTTCTCCGAGGTGCAAGGAGTGCAGGGAGAAGGTTGCTGCGGCTGCGCGGTGGCTGTGGAGAGCAGGTGCGCGCGGTAGTCGCGTGGGTCTAACCTGGAGTCTATTGCCTTCGCTTAGGACTGAGGGGAATAGGCTTCTGCCACGTGCCCGGCGGGGCGGAGGCGAGCCAGGGGCGAGGCGGGGAGCGAGCCGGGGACCTAGGGGCAGGCAGCCGGGAGGCTGCCCTTGAGTATGGAGGTCGATGGTGAGGTGGCCGGAGGCCATCCGAGGTTGAGGTAGGAGTTGAGGGTAAGGTCCGAGGTTGAGGTAGGAGTTGAGGGTAAGTTGCCCGACTCCACCGACCCACGCGCACTTTCGGTCTTTCTTGCCCTTCTGGTGCCACGTCGTCGAGTCCGTGCACACGGAGTCGAAGGAGCCGCCGCCGGCGCTGACGGCGCCGCTCTCGGAGCCGGCCTTCACGGCGACGAAGAGGATGAGGAGCAGGAACGCGTTCATCTTGCTGGTATGGCGCGAATGCCTGTGAGGGGGGCATGCGGGTCTCGGTCGCGTAACGCGAGGAGCGGGGCACGGATCGGGAGGCTTCGGGGGCGCGCGGGGCTCGGCGGCGCGACGAAGACAGTTCCTCGTCGGCGACGCCTTCGCGACTCGATGGACCGCGAGGCCGGGCCTCGCACGCCTCCCGAGAGCCGAGGCCGTGCGCGCGCGGGCGCGCGCGCCTCGCCAAGGGCGACGAGCCCCCCGGCGCCGGCGCGGCGCGGGACCGCTCACTCGCCGAGTTCGATCTTTTTGTACAACTATGGCGGCGGCGGCGGCGCCCCGCTCTCAAGATGTAGTCAGGGGTAGGGAGGGCCCGAGGGAAGTTCAAGGCGGAACAAGTCGCGTGGCGCCGGCTGCGCGCGCGAACTGTGTCACCACGTGTGGACTAGATTTGTGCGCGCCAAGAGTCCCGACGCGATGCGGCAGGCGAGGCAGCGTACTACGAAAAGTTTGGCCGAACCGCGCTGTACAGGCGCGTCCCCGAAGCGGCGGTGCTTGCGCGTCGCTTACGGGCGCCCCCGCCGCGGGGAGGGGGGAGCGGGGGGCCTCGGGGCGCTGCTTCTAGTGGTACTTGGCGAAGTCCTTGGCGAAGACGTTGAAGATGGACGGGCGGACGAAGTTGTACGCGCTCGCCTGGATGTCGTCGGCGACCTGCTTCTGGAGGAACTTGGCGACCTCGCGCTCGTCGCTCTTGGGCGGGCAGGCGAGGCGGTCGTCGTCGAAGAGCGCGCGGTAGTACTGGAGCTGCGTGTAGATGCGCTTCTCGTTCGCCTCGGGCACGAGCCTGCCCTTGCAGCCGCGGCTCAGGCAGCGGACGCCCGCGCAGGAGAGCTGGCGCGTGCGCGCGCCGCAGGCCGAGTCGTCGCAGACCATCCAGCCGTCGTAGTAGTCCTTGAGGGACGCGCGCGTCGCCATCTGGAGCGCCACCGAGACGCGCGAGAAGCACGACGCCGCGTTCTTGTAGCCGAGGAGCTTCGCGCCGCAGTGGCCGCAGCTCAGGGCCGCGCAGGCCGCGGCCTTGGCCGGCGTCGCCGCGTCGCGCGCGGCCTCGAGGCGCGCGCGCGCGCCGCGCTGCTCGAGCGGCAGCGGCCACCGGAGCTTGCAGCTCCCGCACTCGACGACCAGGGGCTGGCAGTCCGCGAAGCGCTCCTCGTCGCTCTGGAGCGACGCCGGCGTGAAGGACCGCATGTTCGCGTTCGCCTCGTCGAGCGCGGACTGGGACCGGGCCATGGCCGCGGCGAACTTGCGCGCGTCGAGGCCGAGCTTGTCGGCGATGGAAGCGCGGCTCATGCCCGCGATGGGCTCGCACAGGCGCGCGATGGGCGGCAGGATCTGCTGCGTGAGGTACCACTCGACGTCGACCTTGGGCTTCTCCAACGACGGCTTCTCGGAGGAGCCGGGCGTGACGACGGGCGGCGCCTCCGCCTCCTTGGCGGTCGGCGGCCGGTTCTCCTCGTCGATCTTCGTGACCGTCGCGACGGCGTCAGGGTGGTAGGACCGGTCCGCGACGTTCTTGTCGCTGCCCGTACAGATGACGTAGGGGATGTGGTCGCCGACGTTGACCGCGCGGCCCTCCTTGAGCATGGCCTTGGCGACGCGGAGGTGCGGCTGCGACTTGGAATCGGGGTACTTCTCGACGGGCTTGTTGAGGCCGCGCGTGATGACGTAGTCGGCGACGTCGACGTCGCCGGACCGCGCGCGCTGGCCCACGTCCTCGAGGACCGCGTTGACCGCGGAGACGATGGCCTCGCTGCCCTCGCCGGAGAGCAGGTGGTCGAGGATCGCCGTGCCGGTGGCTTTCGACAGCGGGCACCAGTCGCGGCGCACCAGATCTAAACCCTTGGTCTCCTTCTTGTAGGAGAGCTGGCCCGTCTTCGGGTCCTCGTTGACGACCAGCGCGGCGTACTTCTTCTTCTTGAGGAGGAGCATGGCCTTGAAGATGCCGTCGAGCTCGAGCTCTAAAAGCCGGTAGCGCTTGTTCACGGCCTTCTTGACCTTGTTGCCCAGGTCCTTCACCACGGCCAGGTCGTCCGTGCGTGTGTTGATCATGATGGAGTCCGTGTCGCCGTAGATGACCTCCAGGCCCAGCTCCTTCTCCGCGACGTCCGCGGTGGCCTGCAAAGTGTCGCGGCCGAGCGACGTCACGAGCGCCGCGAGCGGCTTGGCGAAGAAGCGGCTGTGGGAGAAGCCGAGGCAGCCGTACATGGAGTTGGCCGTGAGCTTCAACGCCATCTGGCGGATGTTGTAGGTCTCGAGCGTCTTCGGGTTCTTCTCCTTCTTGATGAGCTGCTTGACCTCGCGGCGCCGGTCGATGAGGGCCTTGAGCACCTTCGGTAAGACGCCGCCGCCCGTGGCGCCCGCGGCGCGGTCCGGCAGCGGCGGCAGCTCCGGCGCGGCGTCGTCGTCCTCCTCGTCGTCGCCCGCGTCGTCGTCGTCGCCCTCGACCGCGCGGCGCTTCGCGGCCGGCGCGTCCTCGAGCTTCTCCGGCAGCGCGTACTTGGACCAGTCGATGGTCGTGAAGCAGATGTCGTACTCCTGGATGATCGACGGGTAGAGCGACGCGAAGTCCAGCAGGAGCACGTGCGAGTCGTAGAAGCCCTTCTTCGGCTCGAGGACCAAACCGCCCTGGTACGCGGCCTTGGCGCGGCCCGCGTGGCGGTCGCGCTTCTTGCCCTTCTTGCCGTTGGAATCATCATCAGAGTCCTCGTCGTAGCGCTGCTTCTCGGGAGCGATGTACTTGATGCGGTGGAACTCGTGCAGCAGCAAATACTCGATGCGCTCCGCGCGGTGGCCCTTGAGCGTCCGCGCGAGCAAATTACCGGAGATGGCCGTGAGCTGCTTCGACAGGGGCATGATCTGCAGCCGGAGCATGAGGCGCTCCACGAGGCGGCAGTCCTCGGCGGAGTGGCGGAGCAGCCCCGCGACGTGCTCCTTCGTCGACCCGAGCAGGTGCGCGACGTCCTGGGGCTCGAGCGCGCGGCGCCCGCGCACGCCGAGCTGCGTCGCCGCCAACGCCGCGAGCGCGTAGGTCGTCGCGCCGCGGACGTGCTCGCGCGCCGCGAGGTACGTGTCGCAGATGAGGCGGCCGCACGTCGCCGACGCGTGGAACGTGTCGCGGCCGCTCGCGGCCTTCCAGCGGCTCGGCGGCTTGTTGCGCTTGAGGCGGCCGACCTTGGACCAGGCGTTGCCGAGCTTGAGGTGGAGCGCGCGGCCCAAAAGCACGTCGAGCTCGAAGCCGAGGATGTTGTGGCCGACCAAGACGTCCGGGTCGTCCTGCTGGAGGCGGCTGAGGAGGCACGACACGAGGGCGCGCTCGTTGGGCGCCAACGTCACCGTGCCCTTGTCGCTGAGGAAGCCGTGCTTCTCCGCGACCTTGAGGTCCGTCGCCAAATCGCGCGGGAACCGCGCGGCGCCCTTCGTCGCGGCCGCGATCTCCGCGCCCAGGGGCCGCGCGCCCACGCAGGTCCAGCGCCGGGACCCGGCCTTGTGGGACGCGCCCGGCGACGGCGCGAAGAGGCGCTCGTCCTCGCCGCGGCCGCCGTCGGGCGTCGCGCCGTCGATGCCGACGCCGCGGTGCGTCAGCGCGGAGACGGCGACGATCTCGTGCTGGTGCGTCTTCGGGTTGACGACGGTCTTGAGGGAGATGGTCGTGCAGACGAGGGGCGGCGCCGCGTAGGGGCAGTCGCGGGCCAACGTGATCGCCTTCGGGGACGCGACCTCGACCTCGACGGCGCACCACGAGACCTTGGGCGAGTGGGCCTTGGGCTTGTCGACGCGGATCCAGCAGGGCCCCATGAGCTTGCGCTTCACGAGGAAGAGCTCGAGGGGCGTCGCGCCCGCGCCGAGGATCTTCTCGATGACCCTGCCGCCGCGGTCGCAGAGGCCGCGCGGCGGCGGCCGGAACTTCGAGAGGTACTTGACCTTGAGGTACTCCGTCGCGTCGTCGCGGGGCACGGACTCGTCGCCGAAGCAGTAGCCGCGCTTGACGCCCTTGCACTTGAAGGGCGCCTGCTTGGGCACGCACCGCGGCACGAGCTCCGCGCGCGTCTCGGCCCAGACCTTGGCCATCGGGTAGCGCTCGCCGGACTCCGGGTCGACGCGCGGCAGCACGAAGAAGGACCGCTCGACGTCGCGGACGACGACGCAGGCCGACGCGTAGGCGTCCTCGCCCTCGAGCTTCACCTTGCCCACGAGGTAGATGGACCCGGACTGCTCGACGACGTCGAGCCAGTACATCCAGCAATGGTCGCCGTCGTCGTCCGTGCGCAGGTACTTGGCCTCGTCGACGGTGGACCCGCCGACGACGGACGCGCCCGTGCCGTAGGACGGGTCCGCCGCGGGCGCCGACTCGTCCTCGTCGCCGTAGGCCATGCGCTCGGGCTGTTTGACGGCGTCCTCGTCGTCGTCCTCGGCGACCTCCTCCTTGACCTCCGCCTTGACGACGGCGGGGCCCGCCAGCGCTTTCAGGGTCGCCTCGGAGGGCCCCGCGGCCTTGGCCGCGTGCTTGCTGAAGCGCGACGACTTGGGCTTCGGGGCGTCCTCCTCGGCGGGCGGCATAGGAGCGTCGTCGTCCTCCGGCTGCGCGAAGAGCACGCCGTCCATGGCCATGTCGTCGGCGGGCGCGCTGTCGAAGCTCACCTCGCCGCCCCAGGCCGGCGCCAACGGCGCGGCCTGGCTGTAGGAGAGGCGCGCGCGCGGCGCGGCGAGCGACCGCCCGCCGGAGACGGGCAGCTGCGCGCGGTCGAGCGCCGACGGCGCGGCCGCGCGGCGGCTCGGCGGCGCGGCGCGCGCGAGGCCGCCGAGGCCCGCGCCGAGGCCCGCGCCGAAGGACGGCGCCGCGCGCGGCGTCCGCGCGGGCGCGGCGCCGCCGATGCCGTCGATGAGCGAGTCGAAGCCGTCGAGCGCGGCGGCGGCCGCGCGGCTCGGCGGGGGCTTCTTCTTGGGCTGGGCGCCGGGCGCGCCGAGGTACTGAAACATCTTGTTGCCCTGGGCCGGCTCGTCGCCGTCGGCCGCGGACCGCGCCTCCTTGAGCTTCTTGGCCTTCTTCACCGCGTCCGCGCCGTGGGCCGTCGTGCGCTTCGCCGTGACCTGGCCCCGGCCGAGCTCCGCCGGGTCCACGTCCTCCTCGCCGAGGTGCTCCTCGCCGTCGTCGAAGTAGCCCAGGCCGTCGTCGTCGACGACGAAGTCCTCGCCCTGGCGCCGCTGGCGCACGAGCTCCGCGTACTGGTCCTCGCTCACCTGCTCGTAGACGTCCTCCTCCTCCTTGAGCTCGAGGCGGTCCAGGGCCGACCCCTTGGACCGCGCGTCGCGCAGGGCGGCGAGCGTGTCGCCGCGCTTGGACTTTTTGCTGAGCGTGCGGCGGGAGCGCTCCTGCGGGACGCGCGCGCGTGAGTTCGCGGGCCGGGCGCGCGCGCGGCGTGGGTCGCGACGTCGCGCGCGTCGCGGCGGTTGCGCGTGGTGGGTGGTGTGGGTTGGGCGCGTTGTTTTGCGGGCGCCGGTCGGCACCATTTTTTTGAACAAGTGGCCTTGCGCGCGCGCCGAAATTCAAACGCTTTCAGCGGTGGTGCTGCGTGTGCGCGGCCGTGCGATGCGTGTCGCGCAGCGCTGCTGCGTCGCAGCGATTGCGAGACGCGTTCGAACTCGTCGCGCGCGCGTCGAGCTGGACGGTTCCCACGGAGAGTGGATGCACCCGCAGAGCATTCAATTTTGAGCGCGAAGACGCCGGGGGTCCTCTGCGCGATGAGGCCTGCGATGGGCTGTGGCGAAGACCTCCCAGAACCCCGCCCCCGACTGACAAAAGCAAGGTTGCCGCTCCTAAATCTCCGAGACGACACCGCCGACCGCCGCCTCCGCCGCCGACCACGTGCTCGGCGAGCAGATTCAAATTCGAAAGGTCGCGCGGCCACGGGAAGTCGGAGACACGAACATTAACTTGGCGTTCGGGCGCGGCTCGAAGCAACGAGGCGCGGCCGGGATCCGCGGCGTCGAGACCGACGGCGCACAAACAAGCGGCGTCAGTCCTGCTTCAGGTTCAGGTCCGACGGCAGCCGGGGCATCGCGCGGTTCGGCCCGACGACCGGGCTGCAGCAGGGCGTCGACAGCGGCGACAGCGGCGGCTTGCTGATGATGGCGACCTCGTCGGGCACGGCGCGCAGGCAGGCCCGGAGCGTCTTCGCGGCGAGCGCCGCGACGTCGTTCCGGTTGAGGAAGACGCAGAGCACGGCGACGCGCATCGAGTAGGTGATGCGCGGGTCCGTCACGACGAGGAACCCCTCCATGCCGCAGCAGCGCACGAGCATGGCCGCGCAGGTGATGGGCACGACGCGCCGGAGCACGGCCCTGAGGCCCCGCCGCGCGTCCGCGGCGTCGAAGCGGAACCGCTTGATCCAGCACCACGTCGACAGGCGCGAGCACAAATTGTTGCCGTCGATGACGACGATCTGCGCGAGGATCATCAGGGGCACGGTGCAGCCCTCGCACGCGCCGACGACGAAGTTGAACTTCCGGAGTTTGTAGAGCGCCGCGCCGACCTTGACGACGAGCGTGAGCGCCGCGTGGCGCGTGACGGCGTCGTAGACGACGTCCGCCGGCGCGAGCTGGACGAGGCACCATGCCAACAGCCAGGAGACGAGGTGGCGGGGGCCCTTGAGTATCACGGGTTTGGCGCCGACGAGCAGCGAGCCGACGGTCTGCGCGCCGTACTTGTTGCCGAACTGGAGCGCGAAGAGGCCCGCGGCCTTCAACCGGCTCGTCCCCGGCGACAGCGAGTGGAGCCGGCCCAGGCGCTTGCGCTTCTCCGTGCGCGTGAGGTCGTCGCCGTCCGCGCCGACGGCGCGCTTCTGCCGCCGAAAGCCCGCGACGGAGTTCAGCGACGCGAGGAAGGACACGATGCGCCCGTTGGACGTCCCGAGGCCGCCGATGCGCGCGTCGCGGAGCACGGCCGAGCCCAGCGCGACGGCGACGGCCGACGCGAGCACGCCCTCCGCGAACGACCAGACGTCGGCGTTCTTCTTCTTCGTCCGCACGTTTAAGCCGGCTTTCTTCTTCGCCATCGCCTTCGCCCAGGAGAGGTCGGGAAAATACATGCAGTGGCCAGGACTGGTGCTGCGGCGCGCGCGCGGGTCGGGGCGCGCGCGAGTCGGAGCCAAGCTCAAGCACACACCGATTCTCGAGGTGATCGGACTTGGCTGTTCTCCGAACGCTCTTCCATCGCCCGGGGGGTCCCGACGCGTGGCCAAGGCCGCCGCTTTTAACGACCTCTGAACGAGGAAACACCAAGGTGGAGAAGGTGTCGTTCAACAACAGCCGCATCCGCAGGGTCTACACCAGTATCGTCGGGTCGGTTCCGAATCAAGTCATGCTCTGCTTCAAAGTTTCCGCCGTCAAGGCCCGCCGCCTATAGCCGCCGGAGTAATTTGGCGGTATATTACCGGTAATGGTAATTACCGGTAATTACCGGTAATTACCCGGTGCCATAATTCGATACCGGGTAATCCGCGTACAGGCCGCGGTCCGCTAGTACACGTGGCTGACGATCCGAGCGTCGCGGCCCGTCGCGGTCGTGTTTCGCATCGCGGTCGACGCGCGGCGCGAAACCGCGACCGAGCGGCTGCTCGTCGCGACGTCGCGACGGGCGCGCCGGGCGACGCCCCCCACGCCGTAGCGCGCCGCCGGCGTTGTCGCGTGGAAGCCACCTAAAAGAGAATTCGGTCGACACGCGGGTTCGCGGTGGTCCTTTCGAGCCGCCATACCGCCTCTAGCCGTCCGCGGACGCCCTGATTACCGGGTAATTACCCTTCTGCGGTAATTACCCGGTAATTACCGGTAATTACCGAGGCCTCCCGGGCATTACCCGGTAATCCGGCCCCCATACCGCCGCCGGCTCAGGCTGAGCCGCTTCAACCGGTGCTCACACATTTTCGAGCCGCCGCCGCAGGGCATGTGCAGGAAGATGTCCGTCGCGATGTCCCGCCCGACGAGTGGAAGACGCCCGCCAAGTCGTAGAGCTCACATGCCCACCCCTGCAGCGTAGCGTCGACGCGGCGCCGCGGCTGGTGCGTGTCGAACTCCTGGCCCACCACGAGGGTCTTCTTCACGTTCAGGCCGATGACGGCGAAGCTGCAGAAGAAGGCCGACACCGCGACGATCCGTGTCGACATGGACCCGGCGGTAGACCCCGATTTCGCCATGGACATCGCAGACTTCGTCGAGTCCGGCCTCCTCGACATGCTGCTCGACATCTTCGACATCGTGGGGGCGTTGGGGGCGCACATCGCGTTC